GAATCTTTTTTATCCAGGCAATTCTACAATTTTTGGGTGGGGGTGCCATATGGAACTCTTTGCGAGAAGCCTAGTTTTGTTCTTTCGGTTTGCGATTTTTCAATGTTACTGATGAGGGATGAAATTTCCTGAAATCAGTGTAACTCAGAGACAGGTAGAAAACAGAATGACACTGTATTTTGGGTATAACATAGCACGATCACTTATATATGCATGGGCATATTATTACAAATATTAGATATCTGTTGTCAGAAGTAATTTTAGTATGGTTTTAGATAGTTTTTTCCTTACCCTATGCTAGATGGAAACAAGATTATTGTATTAATTCTGAGCTTGTTAACAAAAAAGTGAAGAATGATAAGGGTACCTTGTGCCTGATAATATTTCCCAAGGGCTTTGAAAGAGTTTAAAGATTGGATATGTAAGCTAGTTGCTACTCTTTATTTATTTATAAGTTTTTGAATAGTGGCAGGTGCCAGAAGATTGAAAGTTGTCTAATGTTACTTCTCTTTTTCAAGGGAGGTGATAACATTTTTCTTGGTAACTATGGGCTAACATCACTGGTGGGAAACATTTTTGAAAGTCTCATAAAATGCATTTTGCAAAGTCATTTAATAAAGTTTACAATTTTGTTGAATAGTCAACATGGTTTCACTTGGGGAAAATCTTGCTTTAATAATCTTTTGATATTCTTTGAAGACTACTACTCATGTAGATGAAGGTAAGGGTGTAGGTTTAGTGTATTTGGATTTTCAAAAAGCATTTCACAAGATGCAACATAAAAGGATTGTTAAAAAGTTATCTCTATAGGTGTGGGAGGTTAAGTTAGCTCAATGGATAGAAAAGTGGCTTGATGGAATGATTGTTATAGAGTTCAATCAAACTAGATTATTGTTTTAAGTGAAGTCCCACAGTGCTCAGTGTTAGGACCTTTACTCTTTTTGATTTACATCAGTGACATAGATGAAGAAATGGTCAATACATTACTTAACTTTCCTGACGATATTTAGGATCTTAGTTGTTTCTGGCCATGTGGAGGATGTTTTGCAAAAGGATTTGTATCATTTAGGTAACTGATTGAATAAATGGTAGATAGCTTTTAATTATAAGAAGTGCAAGGTAATGCAAGTGGGTTATTGTAATTTTAATTATAAGTATAATTTTGATGAGAATATATATTTTAACAGTGTTATGGTTGATCAGTCTTTTATTAAGCCTTCAGATTAGTGTGCTGTCACTAATGGCAGGGAAAATGGGATTGTATGTTATATCCACAGAAATATTGAATACAAGTCTAATGAAGTTATAATTTCATTGTACAGATCATTGATTTAACCACATTGGGAATATTATTTTAAGTTTTGAGCTTCTTACTTTAGGAAGGACAGGGATGGAGAGGGTTCAGAGAGGGCTAGTAGAATGATACTTTGGATGTAAATGTTGTCATATGAAGACCAATTAAGATCTCTGAAATTGTTTTCCCTTGAGAAAAAAGTTGGTGGGAATCTGATTAATTCTTTTGACACGGGCTCGGTCCCTGGGACTGACCTCATAACCATTTTGTGCTTGTTATCATTTTCATGCTATAACTTTTAATATTTTAAGTGTATATTTACCAAATTTTGTAGACTTATAGCAAACATTAGAAGCCTTTTGCACACAAAAAATATTTTTAATGAAGTATTTTACTTATATTTGTCCGTGAAAATATTGATTCTTTTTTTTTTAAACTAGTCTGAGTGCAAAGTAATTTTCATTTTAAGATTTAAAATACACTTCTTTGTTTCAAAAATATCGAATTTCATTTGCACAACCTCTGAATCCTCCTAAATATATACCTTTTTTTTTAAATAAAATGTTATATTTTACCTGTTATTATATTTATTATTTGATTCTTCAGCCTGTAGATAACTCATTGAAGTAGAATGAAAAGAAAAATTGTAAAATCAGAAATATAATGAGCAGCTGTTTCCTTTTTCTTCATTATTGATCATGAAGTTTCAAAGTTTATCCCCTGACAGTTTCAACTGCTAAACTTATCCCATATATTTTCTGTGTTTATTTTATTGTCACTGACAAATTACACACTCACTGACAAAAAAATCAATAAATCACCGCCTGTGCTATAAGACTGTTTACGTACAGCCATAATAAGAAACTCTCGAGTGCAAAACTGCACGGGTATTCAGTGAGTTGCCATTCCCCTTGCTCCGAGAACACAATATGGGATATAGCAGTTTATAGTTCCTACAACACTTTCAACAGGAATTTCCCAGGGTAATAAAATTGTAATTAGAATGTGTAAAAATATTTATTATATGCTTCTGAGTTGGGCTGATCCAATAAACATTGTAGGTTCTGAGCCGGGCTTATCCAATTACATAGCAGGAGGCCTAGCTATGTATTGGCCTACAAAATACAATTGTGACTATAATACGAGTATACTGAAAATTAGTGGTATTTCGGCTACATGTATATACATAAATATACATATTACTATTTACCAATAAATGCTTAAATTTTAGTTACATTTATTGAAACATAAAAAGTAAATGAGAAATACACTGACAAACAAAGATTTCGAGTACGTAACCATGTTGCTATCGTGCATCGAACTTGCTAAGCCTTGGCGTAAGCCTCGTTTATTCTTCTGGGAGTAGAGGATAGAAATACTAATATTTTTAAGCTTCAAATATGAATTTTTGAAGACCAAAAAGTTATCAAATTACTGTATTAGTACACTCAAAATCCCTGTTATTTAGTCGGGTCTCTAAATAAACTGTATGTGGGTTAAAAAATCCCATTCTTGTTTAGAGCAATGACTAAATCATCACACTTCAATGGTTTTGGCAAAATTATTATTTTCTCCTTCAAGCTATTTATAAACAAGTGTCAGAGTTATGTAGGGGTGAAAATGTTCTTTCTATTGGTTATAAGTAGTAGGTGGGACTAGATAAAAGCTTTTAAAAGATTGGTGCAGTGGGAGGAGCCACTCTAGTAGACTCGCTAAAAATATTGCTATCTCAGCAAATCACAGAGGATGGAGGTTCTTATTTTGTATTTAGCTTGTCTGTATTTCAAATTCAAGTGTCTAATTCGTTAGCTACTTATACATGTTGTATGGTGGGCATAATAAAATGGCGACTAAACAATAAGACAACTGGACGTGTTGTGTGACACACAAAATCGATATTTGACATTTTTTTCTTTACATTTCCTTTTAAATTAAGAAATTAAAACATGTATAATATCAAAATTTAGATTATAAACTAAGTTTTGATGCCAATTTCATTGATGTAAGTAGTAAAAATTTTATTTAATAAAATTTTGAAAATAACACTCCAAAATGTTGCGACACGTGCACTTTAACCTACCCAGTTAAGGTGTATAAAATTGTTAAGAGGATTTATAATGTTGATGCATCATTTTTTCATACTTAACAGTGAGAATAGTAGGACTAGGGGACGCATAAATTTTGACAGGATAGGGGTCATCTTCAGCC